GGATGGTAAACCAGTGTGATTCGCTTACCAACTGAGATGATTAGTAGGTGAATGTGAGAATACAAACCTATCCTGTGGTTGCTCATCTTTCCAGCCCTGGTCCTCTCTTCTTATACATCACAGATAAGATGATCCTTAAATTACTTATACTGAGAATTGTGTCATGAGTTCAGAATAACAGAGGACACAAAATTGGAGGGGTCTTTAGAATTCTTTTCAAGATCTGGAGCAGCTGATGAACTTGTGTAGTCTTAGGTAGTTTCTGGTAGAGGTGAGCTGAAACCTACAGCTTTATTTTGTGCTGCTTTTAGACTGAGGAACTTCCAAGTAGTTAAAACTATTATACACAATGTGCTATTTCTTCCTAAGTTGAAGTGGTAGCAGTTCTGCATTGAACCCCTTGTGGCAGGGTGGTTCCAGTTCCCACTAGCTATAAGGATGAGCTCCTCTTAACAAGTATAATTGCCACTTTGCACAAGGAAACAATTTTCCTTTACACTTGGTGTATTCTCATATTTTTAGCATCTTAAATTTTCTGGGCTACAACCTACCAAATAGAATTTCTACTACCTGAATCTTTATCAAAAGTCCATTTGGCCAACCAAGTTTGTATTTCTATTGACCATATTTTATTAATACAGCTTACTCCTCTGTTCTATTTTCCCTTTCCATTAAGAAAGGAAAATGCTTTAAAAGACCACATGACAAGAAAACAAAATTTTACCAAGGATTAGAAATGGGAGGCAGGTCTTTGATGTCTTGACTCTGCCTGGCTTTCCTTCAGGTTCACTGGTGCCAGCCTCTTCCTAGTCAAAACACTGATGAGCTTGTTCCCTTTGGTAAGTCTGCAAATGATGAAAAACCTATATTTTATATTACTTTCCAAGTTAAAAAATCTATTTTGTGTTTGATAGCCTACTCTAAAATTAGAAAAATGAAATAGAACAAACAAATGTTTGGAAAAAAGGAAAGGGCATGTGTTAGATGCTTATGTTAACCTTGGCCAGTAGATTAGCAGACAGGCTCACAATACAGGAAACAGGTAATATGAAATCAATTTATTGAAAATAGTATCTAGCTCAAAACAACTACCATTTGCCAAACAATGTTTTTTAAACAAAAATAGTATATAAATGCAAGTCAATAAACTTGGTTCTTTTTTCGTAGGCTGATAGTTTTTACACTTCTGTACTCCAGGGTATGGTACCCATCATATTTAAATATGGATGAAAATTTATTCCTGGTTGATTAGAAATATGCACATCCTTTGGTGGAAGTGGGTAACAGATGTCTTGTGGGTAACAGATGTCTTGGCTTTTACAGACTAATTGGCAAAGAGGGAGAAAAAGGGAGATAATTAAAGGGGTGGAGAAGACGCAAGAAAAGTGCAATCTTCCTTGTGGGGAAAAATCTAATAGACTTCTTTATTATGGGTAATTGACTCTTTCTCCAACCTCATTTGCTATCCCTTTCCATATGACTCAAGTACATTGTAATGAGAAGGTATAAGATAAAGAATCATAATGCAGGACTACTGTCTGCTAACAACCAGATTTATCCTGTCATGGAATATTCTAGCATAATTGACTCAACATCAGGTTTTTACAAAACAAACTGTGAAAGCCCAAGTCTAATCACTAATGGCAACTTACATTTAATTGGCAGCACAAGGATTCTGTGTTGAGGATGCTTGGTATAAATATAATTTAGTCATACACCAAATGTGACCATATAGTGGACTAGAGAGAAATGAAAGATGAGTGACTGAATATGCCATGTATTACTTATACATTGTAGGTCCCATTTAGTTCTGCTGTTTGTTCTCTGTCAGTGCAATAGTACTGCCAATTGACCTAGAATAAATGGAAACATTTAGCAGATGTTTGAAGCCATTATCATTAACAAATCCTCAATTTTGTCAGTGTTTTCCATTGTGTAAGTTTTAAAGTAAGGTGTCATTTTCTATGCCTTTATCACCTAGATCTACAGTATTCTGGTTAGTACCTTTACTTTAAAGGGAATTTTTATAGCCTATTAAACATTTAGTGAGCATCCACATTATTTGTTGATAAGAACTATTATGTAATCATTTTGTAAGGAGCCAGGAGGGCTAGGAAAAGAAAGTATTGGGATAGGCACATAGAAGCTTACTTAGTACAGAATTCAGATAAGGTGAAAGGTGGGATTATTTATCCTAGACGGAAGCCACATGGCACTGACTTTTATCTGACCACCTGTCTTGCTGAAAGATGGAAAGAATTTGTTTAAAAATATGATTGAGGTTTTTAAATTTATTAAAACAATACAGGCTAAAATCTTGTCAATTATTAACTCATTTTCATTGCATTAGAATTATATCTTATTCACAGTTAGTAGAAACTGGTGGAGTAGGAGAATTACAGCTTTCACGAGAGAGAAACAACATTGGGTGCGTAGTCTAGGACTGTTACATTCAGTTAATCAGTTGATCTTTTTGAGCCTCACTGCATATCTGTAAAATGGAGACAGTGAAAACTAACTCCCACAGTTGCACTGGGAATTATGTGCCATAATGAATGCACATGAAACTAGCACATGTTTAGTAGTTACCTACATAATTGTTGTCTTCACTCAACTATTCCTTGGATCCATATTGGATCCATATTCCTTAGTTAGTTGCCTTGATTTCCTGGCTAAGCTTCTCTTCAAAATGGAACATTCAAGGAGATTGATGAGTCTAGTGACAAATGATTTAAGGTTGTGGGTCAGAAAGTTTACTTTTCTCCCCATCTTGAGCCCCTTAAATTTGAGAGTGGAGAATACCCACAGAAGGATAAATTTGTAAATTGCTGGCTGTTTTCCATTTTGGTATTAGCAGATTTCCATAAGTTATAAATTTAAAGTCATAAAATGTTGGTGGCATATGATACTTCAAGGTTTCGAGAATCACTGCCCCTATTCTGGTTCATTTTCCACTTCCAGAGGAAGGCTCTGAGGCTTTGTAAAGTCACATGCTATCTCCAAAATCAATCAGCAAGTGAACGACAAAGTAGGGCTAAGACTTCTGTCCTTTCCTGAATTCTTTGTCTCAATTATCATCAATCACCACCTGCTGCATGACGGCCTCAGATCTAGCATGTACCATTAAAAGAATGAGAGTATTCAACTCGTCCTTGGTCCTTGGCAGAGCACAGAGAGATGCATTTCTTTGTTACGCCTTTTAAATGGTTTGTGCACCCTGGTTCATTCAGCTGTTCATATATAGATTACAAACACATTTTGATTGTTTATGTAAGACAACTAGTTTTACCCTCTTCAGTAGTAGGATATCACTACTGTTTATATAGTACTTCTCGTGCCCCAGAAGTTGATCTCAGAGCTTTGCTTAGATTGACTAATTTATTCTCCTCAACATTGCCTCTTAGTACCTTTCATGTGAAAAAGATGGAGTTCCAGAGGGACTAGGTATTATCTAATATTGCAAAGGTAGTATAATTGGGATTTGAAGGCCTTTGTCAAATTAGAATAAAAAATGCTAGAGAGATTCCATGTAGGAAGATACCAGGGTTCATGAAAGTTCGTAGTATGAACTCTGTGCAAGGAAATGACTTGACTAAATTACTAGGTTTTATATGAATTATACAGGGTGTGATTACAAAATATGGTGAATATTTTTAAAAATTTTGTTATTACAGGAGAAGACATGTTGCCATTAATTCCCCTCCAAATTCTCCCCGTCACTTAAAATACACTTATCTCATCATTCCTGCCACTTTCTGAAGCAATTATGGAAGTGACTTTAGTTGTCCCCTTAGGGTCTTTAGTTGTGCTATCATGGTTGCTTCAGTGTCCTGAATAAATGAAAAACTTACCTTTCGTGGCTATTTTGACTTTGGGAAAGAGCCAGAGACACATGGTGCCAGATCTGGTAAATAAGGTGGATGAGGGTGGATGATAATGTTTTTAAAAGCTTGCTTTCTCATTTCGATGGCACTTGGTGATGTTCACCATATTTTTGATCAACTGCTTGTGGAGGGACAGTTATGACTTTTCAAAAAGTTCACTAAAGTAGTAATATAAAAGCTTAATATTGTACTATTTAGAAATAATACATTTAAATAAAATTTGAGTAGGTTACAAGCACTGGACTCTTTATGCTGACAAATATTTCACATTAAGAAATACTTTATTGCAGAACTTTGGTGAGTGAGTGAGTGAGTATGTGTGTGTGTGTGTGTGTGTTGTGAATAGGGAACACTGGGGTGACAGGTGTTAGTAAACAGCTTCAGAGTCTAATTTTTGAAGGTCTTATTGTTACAGATATATTAAACTCTATTACTGATGTGCTTGCTTTGTGAAGTAGATGCGTGTTTGAGAGAAGATTGCCAAAAGGTCACGGTCTGTGTTTAAATGACTCTTCTTTTAAGATATATTACTTAGTGAAGGGGGAAAGAATAATAGTTCGTCAATGCCTTAAAGCTACTGTGACAGTAACAATAATGTTTAAATATCACAGAATATGAAGAATCACAATAGTTTTAAGGCTGTAAATTGCAGTGCTTAGTATTGTGTTTAGAAAATTTATTTAAAACTTTAAAGGAACAAAGCGAAATGAACAGGACACACTGGATTTTCTGGTTGCACAGGGCCGTAATGCACTTGGATGTGCCACAGTGGTGCTGGACAGCGCCGCTTGGTTGCTGTGATACTGTTTCCTGGAGATTCATAGGAGCTATTGGGAATAAACCCAGTTTAAGGAGAATTTAGAACATGGATGAGGGAAATATATTAAAATACAGTAGCCACTGAATAAATACACAAAAATACTAGTGATGGTAAGGCACCTTATTTAATAAAACACAAGACTGAGAGGTTGTAAAAGCATAGTGTGTTTATCAACTACAGTATTGTTTATTTAAATCCTCCATTTTCATTAAGGTGGGGCTCTGCTATAAAGTACTAAAAGTAATTTTCCATATTATCTTTTGCATTTTAAAGCTTCTTGTCTTACTCTTCCAGGATTGAAGTGTGTATGTCTTTTGTGTGACTCTTCAAACTTTACCTGCCAAACAGAAGGAGCTTGTTGGGCCTCAGTCATGCTAACCAATGGAAAGGAACAGGTGATCAAATCCTGTGTATCTGTCCCAGAATTACAGGCCCAAGTCTTCTGCCATAGTTCTAACAATGTTACCAAAACCGAATGCTGCTTCACAGATTTTTGCAACAATATAACACTGCACCTGCCAACAGGTAAGGGGTTTATCTTTGTTCATTCCAAATTTAATTTTACTCTTGGGAAACTCCAAACACGAAAGAAATCAAACTGTCTTATGTTTCTTTAAGTAAGAAAATCTGTTTTACAGTTCTTTTGTTTTTGACTGGTAAGATTCTCTAGAGTCTACCGAGGTTGAGTTTTAAAAAATACTTCATATCACTGTCAAAACATTGACAGTAGCATAACAATAGGAAGAAAGCTGTCCGCTTGGATTGTATTATTTGAAGAGAGTAATGAACCTAAAATAAAAGGTAAATTTTTATGGATTCTTTTAAAGGAAAAGAATTGAGATGTGCACCAAAGGAGGGAAGGGGGAGAAAATGAGCACAAATCTAATCTACAGTGACAGAAGGTAGATCGCCAGTCTAGCCCTGGTGGAAGTGGAGATGGATTGAGAACGTATTGGGGAATGGAAATGCAGTGATAGTTATATGGTCATGTGTATACATCAAAGTTCATCAAACTATACATTTAAGATATGTATATTTTATCATATTGAAATTATACATTACTAAATTTGATTTTTAAGGAAGAAAGATTGGTGCTTACTTTATTTGAGAGTAGAACAAAGTCTTCTGTGTATTTAAGTGAAGTTCAGAGTTGGACTGGGAAGGACCTACATGATGGTACACTAAGTACCTGTAATTTTCTGCACTGCGTGTAAAACATCCTGTCCCTTAAGATCTTTCTTTATAGTCTGAGTGCTGTCTCTTACTCATGCTGCCTGGCAGAACTATGGTCTTATGAACCACTGATTATTGAGAAGACACATTAAAGAGGCTATTGCCACAGCTAATGAAGAGATTTCTCTCCACACTTAATCTTTTATATTTGGTCATGTATGAAATACAAAGAGCCTTCACTTTAGGATGTCTCCTGTCCACAGAAAGATGTGGGAACAGCATGTTCACAAAGAAAAATGTCCATAAGAAACTTCAGATCACCACCAAATCAAGCAAGTCTATGGAATATGCGGCAGACAGGATAGGTGTGACTTAGAAAACAAGAATGCGAGTGGCTTTAGGGGATGAAAAGGACCAAGTGTGACTTTTCAGTTTGCAGTATATAAGATAACGCTGTATAATAGTGTTTTCCAAGGGGTGACCCAAGTCCCAGGGTGGTATATGGAAGAATAAGCGCTTTCAAGGTGAATCAGGGTGGCAGACATGATATTGGATTAGATCAATGCATAATGGATGTGTGCTGAAGTATGCCGGACCCCCTCATTTGTATAATTAATTCATGTTAATCACACAATTTAAAAGCATGATAGCAAATCACACTGAACACGTGATGATTTTTTTTTCCTGTCTTAGTTTTTATAATTTTGTATCTTATTTTCTACTAGTGTGTCTTTAATACTTCATTCTTCTCTCTTAAAGAGAAAACATACTGAACTAGAATGCAGTAGCATTGTTTTCTTGGATAGTTATCTTCTATTTAAAGAAGAACTAGCTTTTAATCTGTGACAGAGATACTAACTTTCTTTATAAAGTAATAAATGTTTTCAGCTAAAAAAGGCTGCTGTAAAAATTTACTGATATCTACTTTATATCCCTGTAGATTACATGTTCTCTCTGAGTTTCATATGAAAGGAGTAATTACAGAACATAATTTTGGGGGATTTAGCTTGCTTCACTTGGCATAATATTTCTGAGATTCATTCATGTTGTTGGGTATATCAGTACTTAATTTATTTGCTCAATAATATGCCATTGTATGGATATTCTGTAATTTTAAAAATCCGTTCATCTGTTGGCAGGCATTCAGGTGTTTATAGCTGGGGGTTGTTAGTAAAAAAGTTTATGAACAGTCATGTACAAGTCTTTGTAATATTTTCATTTCTTTTGAAAAATAACCTGAGTAGAATCACAACATTACTTGATAGATATGTGTTTGGCTTTATATGTGTAAACTCCCAAATAGTTTTTAAACTGCTCATAGCATTCTACATCCCCAACAGAAATATGTGAGTAGCTAGTCCATAATTTTGCCAATATTTGATATAATCAGTTCTTTTGATTTTAGCCATTTACATGGTTGCCAAGTGGTATTTTCTTATGATTTCAGTTTGTCTTTTCCTGACAACTCATAATGTTAAATGATTTTTTTCATGTCCATATTGTTCGTTTGTGTATATTCATTTGTAAAATGCCTATTAAAATGTCTACTAAAATTGGGTTATTTGTTTTCTTATGGTTAAATTGTAAGAGTTCTTTATATATTTTGACACAAGTCTTTTATCATATATACATGTAATGGCTATTTCATTCCATTCTGTGCATTGTCATTTTCTTTTCTTAAAGATGTTTTTGTAAAACACGAGATTAAACATTTGAAAACATATGATTTGCCTTCTATTGTTATTAATATTGTTTACCTGCTTCATATTCTGAGAAGTCTTTATCCAAACATTATAAGTATTTGTTTTTAGAAGTTTTGACATTTTAGTTTTCACATTTAGGTCTATGTTTAGCTTCATTTAATTTGTATATAATAACACAAATAACACATAATAGTGAAGTAAAGCTGGAGTTTTATTTTTCCATATGTTTACAAAGTTGGTTCTGCATCATTAGCTAAAAATGTCAACCCTTCCCCATTGAGCTACTTTGGCATTTTGGTTGAAAATAATGTGACTATATATTTGTGAGTATATTTATATCGTTTTTATCCTGTACAGTTGTTCTGTATGTCTTATGCTTCTACTCTTTTTTTGATTGGGTCCTTCTCTCATTTTGGTATCAGGGTAATACTTGCTTCTAGGAATGAATTAGGGAGTATTACTTCCCTTTCAGTTTCATTAAAGAGTTTGAGGAGTATTGGCATTAGATCTTCTCAAAATTTCTTGTAGAATTCAGCACTGAATCCATTAGGACCTGGGCTTTTATTTGTTAAGTTTTTAATTATATTTTTAGTGTCATTTACTGATATTGGGTTATTCAGAATTTTTATATCTTCTTGATTCAGCTTTGATAATTCATATGTATCTAGGAATCTGTCCATTTCTTCTGTGTTTTCCATCCTATGAGAGTAAAGATTTTTGAAGCAGGTATTGATCATCTTCTGAATTTCCACAGGATCTGTAGTGATTTCACCCTTTTCATTCCTTAATGCATTTCCTTAATGGATTTCAATATTTTCTTTTCTTTTTTTAGATAAGGTTGGCTAAGAGTTTATCAATTTCATTTATACTTTAAAAGAGCAAACTGTTCAATTAATTCTTTGTATTTTCTTAATATCAGTTGTGTTAATTTCTGCTCTGATATTTGTAATTTCCTACCTTGTGTGGGCTTTGGGCTTATCTTCTCTTCTTTTTCCAGAAGCAGGGGTAGCAACATTAGGTTGTTTATTAGTGCACGTTCTGTTTTTCTGATGTGAAATTTCACTGCTGTAAATTTCCCTCTTAGGACTGTTTTCATTATGTGCCATAAGTTACGGTATGTTGTTTGCTTTCTCATTTAAATGTAGATATTGTTTAATTTCTTCTTTAATGCCATCCGTGACTCATTGGTTGTTCAGGAGGGTGTTATTTAATTTCCATGTGTTTATGAAGTTTTTGCAGTTTCTTTTGCCATTAATTTCCAATTTAATTGCACTATGGTCAGATAATATGCATAGGGTAATTTCACTTCTTTTGCTTTTACTTAAGTATGTTCTGTGGGCTAGTATGTGTTCTATTTTAGAGGACATCCCATGTGAAGCTGAGAAGAATGTATATTCTGATGATTTTGGTTGGAACACTCTGAAAACATATACTAAATCCATTTGTTCACAGGTTTAGTTCAGCTCTGATATTTTTTTGCTGATTTTTTGTCTAGTTGATCTACCTCTTTGTGACCATTAATGTCCCCTGTTAGAATTGTGTTATTGCTTATTAGATTTTTCATGTCTGTTAATAATTGTCTTATATAGTTGGGTGCTCTCATATTTGGTGCATGCATATTTATGATTGTTATCTCTTCCTATTTAAGTTTTTCCCTAACAAGTATATAGTGACCTTTACCTCTTTTGATCATTCTTGGTTTGAAGTTCACATTGTCTACAAACAGAATAGCTACCCCTGCTTTTTTCTGGGCTCTTGTTTCATGGAAGATTGTTTTCTATCCTTTGATCTTTCAGTTTATGATTTTCTTTTCAAGTTAAATGTATTTCTTGTATACAGAATATTGTTCGGTCTTGCTTCTTCATCCATTAAGCCAGTCTATTTCTTTTTACTGCTGAGTTGCAGACATTTAAATTGATGATTATAACTGATATGTATTTGTCATTATATTTTCCTGTTGTTGGTTTCCTGCTTTTCCCCACTGTTTAATTGCTTGCCCTGCCTTGTTGTTTCTTTCTGTTGTTGTTTTTGGAATTGTGGTTATTTTTATCTCTGTGTAGAATATCTTTCAGTACTATTTGTAGGGTTGGTTTGGTGGTCATGAATTTCTTCAGTTGTCCTTTATTGTAAAAGTATCTTGTTTCTCCATTAAGGCTGAAAGGTGGTTTTGCAGGGTACATCAATCTGGGTTGGAAGTTGTTTTCTTTCAGGAGTTTGTGTTCTTTGAGGGTTTGTGTTGAGAATCTGCCATGATTCTGATGGGCTTTCCTTTATAGATGATCTGTTTCTTTTCTCTAACAGCTTTTAATATTCTGTTCTTGTGCTCACTTTCTGGAATCTTGATTATTATATGTCTTGCTGTAGTTTTATTTGGTCATGGCTGTTTGGAGTTCTATATCCTTCAATTATTTGTATGTCAAATTCTTTATATATGCTTGGGAAGTTTTCTGCCATTATTTCTTCTCTTTTCTCTTATTTTTTTTAGTACTGGGAATCAAACCCATTTCAACAAGAGTGATTGGTACAAGGGGCTGGGGATTTAGCTCAGTGGCACAGCGCCTGCCTGGCAAGCGCGAGGTCGTGAGTTTGATTCCCAGTACCAGAAAAAAAAAAAAAAAAAAGAGTGATTGGTACAATTAATGTGCACTG